GACTGCCGGCGCGCCGCGCCGACGGAAGGAGCTTGACGCCGTTCGCCACCGCCACTACGGCTCCTCCTGCTCCTCCTCACCGGCCACTACAACTGCAACCAGCTTGGAACGGGCCGCAGCGTCAACCGACGGCTCCCCGGCGCTGTCGCGGCCGCGTGCCCAGAAGCCCCTCACGCAAATCACGTGTTTGCAATCGCGGGCTTGTGTTTTACGTAAGTCTTCTAGTCTCGCCCACACGAAGCCCTATATTTACAGCCCCATAAATTACCTACACGCTGGGATCGGACACCAGCGACCATTCCCTCCACACCCATCCACAACATGGTTCATGAGAAGCCTTAGACACGCGACAGCAGGGAGGAATGCCACTGCGGCCGGTGCTACGCCCTCTCACGGCATCACATCACCCCCGAGCGTGGAAAGCCCATCCTCACACAGAACGGGCGGCGGAGGAGGACAGACCGTCGAGCCTTCGTTCTCGCAAGATGCTCAATGCATACAACACAGCCGGACGACTCTGATACCGACAACGCCCACAAAAAACACCAGCGTCGAGACCGGCGGTTAGTGTACTAGGGGGAGGATCGCCGGGCGCTGAGGGGAAGAAGGCGGTGTGACGACTGCAGCCGCGCGTACACACACACACACACACACACACACACACACACACACACACACACACACACACACACACACACACACACACACACACACACGCACGCACACACACGCACGCACACACGCACGCACACACACAGCACACGCACGCACACGCACCACACGCACGCACGCACGCACGCACGCACGCAGCACGCACGCACGCACACACACACACACACACACACAGGCGCTTCATGAAGCGCGCCGCGACAGGCAGTCTCGGCAGACGAGAGACGACAGACGGTCTCGGGAGACGAGAGACGACAGACGGCCTCGCAGACGAGAGACGACAGACGGTCTCGGCAGACGAGAGACGACAGACGGTCTCGGCAGACGAGAGACGACAGACGGTCTCGGGAGACCGACTGTTTCTGGCGGGTGTTGCGACGTCCAGGAAGGAACGCGCGCGCCGGAGACCGTTCTGGGAGGCCCCAGCCACCTCGGATTGGTGATGACGCCACATTGCTCCAACGGCCGCTCGTCCAGGGCGCCGCGCCATCGCGGCACCACGCCTTCCCTGCCGGGCACGCCGGCGGCCAGCCCGTCGGCGCTGCCCCTATGATGGCGGCCGACGCCGCCGCCGACAACGGGGCGGGCCGCTGACCCCGGTGCCCGCCGGCGGCCACACCGAGAGCCCGCCAGCCGTGTGAGGCTGGCCCGCCGCCTGCCGGTCAGACCGGCCGCGGGTAGCTTCACCTCGGCCTGAGCTAGTGCCGCAGCATGACCAGCTGCATGACGCAGTTGTATATGAGTCGGCTCGTGCAGTGCCGTGAGTTATGCCATATAAAAGCAGTCCCCGATAACCGATGCCAAAATTGTCCCGCACCAAATCGCAGCTTATTAGGTCATAAATACAAAAGGACATGACACAACTAATTGAATACAGGGAGTTATGGCGGAAGGTCTGTTTTGCCTGGGTGCAGTTCAGACAGGCACACTAGAGCCTAGGCCAGCACAGGTACGCTAAAAACCCCGCAGAGCCGGGTCGTCGCCGGCAGTGGCGTGGCGATGACTCAGGGGCGCGGTCATGGCATTCGTGCACGCTGCAGCGCAGTACGGCACGGCGGCCACCGGGCGCCAAAAATAGTTACATGACGTACCAGCTACCACGATGCCGTGTGGACACAGATTGTTCGTGACGACGAACGAAAAGCCACCTATGTTGTGTAACTGGCGTTTGTCGGGAGCCACTGCCGACCGACGTCAACTGGCTGGGCGCTCGCTGAGACATGCGCGGCGACCCGGAGTGACCAGCGGAGCTGACTGGGATTAGTCCGGGGCGGCAGGTCAATGGCTGCAGGCAGCGGAGAGACTCGGAGAAGGGGATGTCAATAGAAGTGACAGCACGCGCCAGGAGTCCCCGAGCGACAGCACGAGCCAGGAGCACCGAGGGACAGCACGAGCCAGGAGTCCCCGAGCGACAGCACGAATCAGGAGCCCCGAGCGACCAAGCGCGAGCCACGAGCCACCGAGCAACAGCGCGAGCCCAGGAGTCCCCGAGCGCCACCACGCGCCAGGAGTTCCCGAGCGACAGCACGAGCCAGGAGCCCCGAGCGACAGCACGCGCGGGAGTCCCGAGCGCCCAGCACGAGCCCGGAGCCTCCAAGAGGACGGCGTCCGCGCTAGTCCGAGGACGGGGAGGGGGAACACGACCGCTCCCAGCCGAGGAAGAACCACTGCAGAGCCGCGCAATGCCCGGCTTGCAGGCGCGGTCTCGTCCGGCAGCAGCCGCGAACCCCACATCGCCTCGAGCTGGCCGTCTGACGTACACCAGCACAGCTCGGGCCAAACCCACCCCAGCCGATGTCAGCGCTGTTTTCGTTGGACGGTATCGGGCTCAAGTACGGGGCAAACAGCGAGCCGCGTGCTCAGTGACCCCTGCCGACGCCGCTGGCGATGTCGTGACGCAACACACTGTCTGCCCGCGGCTCGGCCTGAGGTCACACCCGCGTTCCGGGCATATCCCGACGGCCTGGGGCGGCCCAGGCTGTCACGGGGCCCAGCAGTGCTCAGCCGCGGCGACACCTCAGACAAGGGGGAAGGGGGGGGGAGGGGGCACATCAGACGCCGGCGGGCTGTCTCAGTCATGCATCTGATCGATGCCAGTGAAGTAACGACTGAAAATCAGGGAGAATGGAAAACAGATGAAACGCTAAAATAAACCCGGCGAAACCGATGACGCTGCTCCGGTAAGGGGTTTCCGCATCAGTCACCCAGCCGCCACAGGAATGACACACATCGGACACGCTGTGCAGACGGGGAGCCCTGCACATCACGCCGCCCCGCTCGCTCGTTGGACCGCGAGCCCCGGGCCCCTACGAGGGTCGACCGCGAGCCTCGGGCCCCTACGAGGGTCGACCGTGAGTGTCGGTCGCGCCGAGTCCCCGTCTCCGGGCACGCTGGACACGCTCGACCCGGGCGGCGAGAGAGCGGCTGAAGCCAGGTCAAACAGCGCGGTGTTGTACCTGGGCGCCAGGCGCTGGGCGGCCGCGACCGGGGTCGGCACGATGACCGACTGCCTCCGCGCGGCCGCGGCCCGACACTCGGAGACGCCGCCCACCGCCGGTCGGTCCCGAGCACGTGCCACACACTCTCAGACGTTAGCTCGCTCCCAGCGGCGGACGAGTCCCATACCTTCCCAATTACCGCCAGCCAATCGGCGGCGGCGTGACCGGCAGCTCGGCCCGTGCACGTCAGGGAGTTGGCCGCTGACAGGCTGGCCGTGCCGCCCGTCCGGCGGTGCCAGTGCTCATCTGCGGGGCGGGGCAGCTCGGCCCGGACGCCGTACATAGCCGCGGACCGCCGGCCGAGCCATGACGCGCCTGCCAGCAGCCCGGAGCTCCTCATTTAGCCAGGCGCGAGCCGCCGGCAGCCAGGGCGCCGCCACACGGCTTCAGCGCTCCGGAGAGGCGGCTCTGTTTACAGCTGCGTGGAGGTCACACGATGCAGCCAGGGAGCGGTGGCCAACCTCCGGCCCCGCGGCGCGCTGGTGGCTGCCGGCCGGCGGCACCAGCGGCCGGCGGTGTGCCGACCGCTGGGCGCGCCAGCAGACTGCTGGTCGTTGAGCCCAAGCGGGTCCTCCCCTCACAGCCGGCTGGTGAGCCACTCCGAAGCCGGCCCTCCCTTCACCGAGCCGGCGACCCCATCATTGGCAGACGGAACCCCGTCATCCCATCCAGAGCAGCCGCTTGATCAGACGGAGCGGCGGCCTGACCATCCCGAGGAGCAGCCTGACCAGACGGAACGGCAGCCTGACCAAACGGAGCGGCAGCCTGACCAGACGGAACGGCAGCCGACCAGACGAGTGGCAGCCTGACCAGACGGAACGGCAGGCGACGCCTGACCAGACGGAACGGCGGCCTGACCAACGAGCGGAGCCTGACCAACGGAGCGGCAGCCTGACCAGACGGAGCGGTGGCCTGACCAGACGGAGCGGCGGCTGACACCCTGACGCGACAGGTGGAAGCCACGCCACTGCGCGCAGGCAGCACCCGTCCCAGCTCCATTCTTCGCCGCCCGCCGCCGCCCCCTGGCGACTGCACGAGCTCCAGGTCTCCCCCGTCTGCCCTCCCCTCTGCACGAGCCTAAGCTGTACACAAGCTTCAGCCTCCCCCCTCTGTCAGGACCCGCCGCTATCAGTGCTGTCCGCCATCCGCCGGCCGTTTGAATGCATTGGCCGTCGCCGCCGACAATCGTCGCCGGTCGTTCGGCGTGCAACCGGCCCGCGGAGCCCTGGGCGGCGTCCCCGACGGCCGACCCGCCGTCCGCTAGATGGAATGTGCCAGACGCGCAAAAAACGACGCGCGCGCGCTTGAAAACAGTCGAAAAACGACGCGGCGGCGACCACCGGAAGTGTGACGGCGACCGGAAGGCCGGCAGACCGCGGCAGCCCGGCAACAGGCGGCGAGCGCGGCGCGCCGGCAAACGTGGCGCGCACGCTCCGGCCGCGGCGCACCGGCGCTGCACTCGGCGGGGAGTCGGTCCGGGGTCGGTTTGAAGCTCTGGTCGGCGCACTTGGGTTTCGCCCCGGCAGGGCGCGGAAACCGGACGGTGCGCATCAATCGTCGTCTAGGAAATGCGCTGTTCGGGTGTGGGTAAGCATGTTGGCTAATGCCCAATGTATGTATTTCTAGTACAGACATTACCCACAGGACAGCGTACATTCGCTGTCTCTGTGTAATGGCACGGCCAGCACTCGCCGCACTTGTGCCCCGGGACGCCGACTGGGGGCCGACACCTGTGCCCCGGGACGCCGACTGGGGGCCGACACCTGTGCCCCGGACACCGACTGGGGCCAACACCTGTGCCCCGGACGCCGACTGGGGGCCGACCTTGTGCCCCCGGGACTGGGGGCCGAACACCGGCTGGGCGGCCGACACTTGTGCCCCGGGACAACCGACTGGGGCCGACCACTTGTGCCCGGGACACCGACTGGGGGCCGACA